CTTCATATAATTACCCATAGATTGAGCCGTAAGTGTTATACCACTCCATATCAACCATTGCTCTCACACACACACACACACACACACACACTTTTGCAAATTATTGTATTATATTTATAGCAAATGGTACCGTATATTGAATTACTGGTCGGAACGCAATATCTCGGGTCCAAAACCCATCCCATTGTTTGGCAATAATTTAAGTCCTGTCCTAAAGCCGAGAGCAATGGTTGATATGGAGTGGTATAACACTTACGGCTCAATCTATGGGTAATTATATGAAGTAAAAACAATTATATCGTATATGTATTTTAAAATATGATCGACTAATTGTATAGAGTCTACGATTGTGGACAACCTGTCCTCTATGTGTTAGACCCGGTGCTCATCAAACAGATTCTGGTCAAAGAGTTTCACAAATTCCCAAACAGAGCGCAGATCCCGGAGTTGAGTGGACTCATCTCAAAGTCCATACCCCGAGCCAGGGATGAGAACTGGAAGCGTATCCGCGCGATAGCGAGTCCCACATTCACTACCGGCAAACTGCGACACATGTATCCACTGCTCAACGAGTGTTGCCACGACTTCTTGGCCGAACTCGACAGAGATGTGTCCACCAGTGGTGGTCACCGGGAAGTGGACGTCAAGCAACTGATGAGCGCCTATACACTCGACGCGATCACCAGCACAGCGTTCGCCATCAAAACCAACTCCTATTCCGACCCAAACAACCGGTTCATCACGACATCCAATAATATCGCAAAAACAATTTTTTATACCAATAAATGGCAAAAGATATTACCCATGATTTTACCCACATTTCTAACCAATACCCGAATGTGGAAATGGATGGCAGCCGGCGGTCGACCCGACGATCGGTACTTCAATGATGTCGCCCGACGTTTGATGTCTGAGCGCAAGAAATCGGATCAAAAACACAACGATTTTCTACAGCTTTTGATGGATGTGAAGAGAGAGGACGACACCAGCCATACGACTACCGGTGCCGGCGATGCGGCCGAAGAACTTCGCGGGAATGAAGGCGTCGACGAACTGATGGCAGAGAAACAGCTGTTGAGTGGAGTGTTGGCCAAGAAGTTGACCGCCGATGAAATACTCGCGCAGTGCTCGACGTTTTTTACGGCTGGTTATGAGACCACGGCTCTCACCCTAACGTACTGTACGTATGAATTGGCAGTCAATCCCGATATTCAGGACCGGTTGGTGGCGGAGATCAGAGAAGCGCTCAATGAACACAACGGAGACATAGACTACGAAACCCTTCTCCGACTCCCACTCCTCGACGCCGTTATATCGGAAACTCTCCGCAAATATCCCACGGATTCACGACTGGAAAGGCAGGCCTCGGATGACGCGGTGCTTAGCGCTGGTAGCGATCGGTCGACGATTAATATCTCGAAGGGAATGGTTATAAAGATCTCGACGTATGCCTTACATCACAACCCGGACTACTTTCCCGACCCGTTTGCCTTCAAACCCGACCGCTTTTTGCCCCAAAATCGCCATAACATCAAACCCTATACATACCTACCGTTCGGCTCCGGACCGCGTACTTGTCTGGGTATGCGTTTTGCATTGCTTGAAGTGAAACTAGGCATGGTCAACATGATGCAACAATTCCGTTTCTATCGGGTGCCCGACACGGATGTGCCCCTCGTTTTCCTGAGGGGTTCCGACCGGTTATACGCGAAGAGAGTTGTGGTGGGCGTCACTAAACGCTAACAACCAATACATTCAATTACTTTTAATTATGATTTTATTTTATTTAGTTTTTCTCAAATATTATACATTGTAGATTACAATTATAAGTGTTTAATATTTTTATTGTAAAATGTTACTGTAACTGGAGTTATGAGACAGTGTTTTATAATTAATGCTAATATTTAAAATCTAAATACAATTTTATAACGAGTTCTCAAATATTTCTATGCTTATTAATTTAATGTATAATGATCATATTAAATATTTTAGTTTTTCTCAAATATTATAGATAATAATTTTTAATTGTTTAAAAATGTTTATATCATTATAAAATGACTTTTATGTGAATTGAATGTATATTATCTATGGAGTTAAATTAATTCTAAAATAAAATCAACTTTAATTGAGCATATTTTTAAATACATTTTGACACGAGTCACATATTATCAGCCATTTTATATACCGTAAAGTTCCCAGAGTATATTCATTATCAACAATATCTTGAAAGAGCTCAAGAGCTTTAGAGAGCTGTTATCATTAACAATAATATTTTAAAATTTTCTATTTGTAATTATTGTCTACTCTTTAGGATTTAATATTAATATATAAATTAACTTTTATTCTGGATGTACATCAAAATTATACCAACGTAAAGTCTATGCTGTAAGATTAACATATTGATAAAAATAGAAAAGTTTAAATCCTATTTTGATTTTTCATAAGATTAACATTATAATAACATTACAATACTGTATGTTAATTCTATGGAATATCTCTACAGGATAAATATGACTAATTCTGTCATAAGGTTGACAAACAATATAATGTCCAGTGGAGGCGGGGAGAGAGAAAGGTTGGCCATGTGAATATAAAAACTTCAATTATCATCATGAATTAAAATATAACCTTGTTTACAAATCTTGTTTTATAAAACAAAAACTAATGATTCAAAGTAAATCTTCACAGATTATTCTAGAAATTAGTTTTAATAAATGCTTACGTGCTTTAAAATACGTACAAAGAAATAACAATACTGTTCTGTAAAATGCAATATTTAAATAAAAACATATTACATTACAATTTTTTCAACAATAACTTGTGACAAAAATGTGGCGTTGAGAGTGTTTTTATAATGATTATTAATTTTTTAGCAAATCTCCTGAATATAAATAACATTAATATATTCTTATCGTTTAATAGTGAGCGTATAAACTTAATTAATAACTATTAAAATAGTTGTCCCTAGTTAGAATATTATCTCTCCCTGCTTATTGCCTGCCCCTATAATATAACCCCTTCCCAGACCTACTCCTAACCCTTCTAACGCCCCTGTAGCCCCTGTATGTGGATACATTGTATGGGCATTGTTTTTGTGCTCCACTAGTGTTTTGTTTAATTTGTTTAAATTGTGTTAATTGTGTTGTGTTTTTGATGCCATTCATCCTTGGATTACTCCCCGACGGCGATATGTCCAACACTTTGTCCGGA